TAATTGAAATTACAAGCTTTTGGCTTCCCGTGGCAGTCAGCCAGCAGCACATTTTACACTAAACCTTACACTAAAAAAATTATACTCCGAGTTAACTTACACACAGTTTTTCTGTTTACAGGAAAGCAGGAAGGAGGAAATGTCTGGTCACCTGGGAATCACATTTGTTTCAGTTTTTGAAATGCAACCAGAATAATTTTTTCTAAACTTCAATTCTATTTACTGTTATTTGGATTAGTATTTCTGAATTTGTCATGCCCAAGAACACAAAATTTTAGCCAGGTAAAAACAAGGCATTAATTGATTTCCTTTTCTTACATATATTTTTCCAAAGTTCAGAATATTCTTTCAATTTCGAATTATAGTCTAGAAGATGAAATATTTTCTAATAAGAATATTTTCACCCAATAATTTTTTTCTCTTTTTTTTTCCTGTATATAAAAAAATCTATGTGTAGTTTATGGATTTTGTTTGACATAAGGGAGGTCTCAACCAAATTTGGTCCAGGATATGCAATTCAAACTACTTACCTAACTACTTGCAGGAATAATCACTTATTTCCCAAGAACCCTGTGTCTTGGTTCAGGGCAAATTTGGGAGAGAACTCTTAAAGGGATTCTTTTAGGAAAGCAGATTCAATCAGCTTTCAATATTATGCTTTTCTAACCATCCTATATTGTTAAATTACCTAACTGTGGTTAAACATACACATTTGTGTAGGGATTTTTTTACTACCTGGGGAAGAGCTGAAGAAGTCTAATATTAACTTTTTATTTTTATAGAAGATTTAAATTTTGAAGTTAAAATCTGAAATTTCACCTCTAAGCTCCTGAATTTCTATATAATTACAAAATTCAGCTTGGATTTGAAAACTTTTGTATCGGAACACACCAATATGAACATAAATATGTTCATAAATTTCTAATTTGAACATAAATGTGCACATAAATATGATCTAAATATGATCCTTCTACTTTCCTACTACCACAAAGTTGCACTGCTGTTGTTCCTGATGTGGCAGTGCTATCTTGAAATAGCTATTTGAATGAATAAACTGCTAAATGCCAAACAGTGACCCCAACCCAGTAAATAGTTTATAGATTTAATTAAATGCAGAAGTTTGGATGATTTCTGTTGATTATACTCAAACAAGTAATTCAGTTACTTCATATTATTGTTCTAGGGGAAAAATGGGAAAAGCTATGAAAATTTCTAACAAATAGAACTGAAATCATGCAACATTGTAATATTATTGTATTCAACATATATTGACAGCAAGAATAAAGGCTTAGTTTTTTCCTTGTGCATGAAGCTTAAAGTTTTTACAAACTGAATTAAAGAATTTATGCATTCATCACAGAAAACCCATGTCTGTATTTCTTCTATGAAAGCAAATAATATGTCTCAAAGCAGTAGGGAATACAGGAAAAAAATATTTAAAACAAAACACTTCTATAAAACACTTTATTACAGTATTTTTTGCACAGTAATAAAGAGCAAAAACCAAAGGCACATTCATGCAGAAATGCTTTTTGCAGTTGGACAACTTTTTCTTCCAGTTTCTGCTGCATTTGGATTGCTTTGCCTTACATGGATAATTTACAAAGAAAAATATACCTTTTTATGTGCACGTGCAAGGCAAGATTCACATAAAAATTCCCAAAAAGTAAGCATAAGTCCTGTTAGATCCAGGTGGTAAAAGAAACAAGTCAGAGAGAAGGCAAAGGCTATTCCATGTGATCTGCTCAGTGATTGTGCCCTGTTTCTATCTGTTAGTCACTGCAAAGTTAGCAGCTTCCTCTGCGACTCTGCTTTTCCATTTCTGCTAGAATTCCAGGCCACTTAAATTTTTCCTAGTATAACTTCTGTATTTTCTTAGACTCTTGTTTTACTTTATATTTCTGGAAAAGTTCTAAACATTTGGCTATCAAACTTTGATACACTTTTGATACAAACACTTTTCACCACAGTGAAAAAATCTCAAGAAAAAGATTTTGCATTTTGCCTGGCACTTTTTGTTACACAAAAGTATTTGCCAGGCAGTAAACTAGGATTTCTAAGGATGTTTTGAATGCTTGTTTCCACTTTGAATTCTTACAAAACACTCGGGGAAAGTGCTGATTCCTGTAAATACTTCAACCAGCTTTTTGCCAGCTTTACTCACTTATTTGCCCAGAATGGCTTGGTTGGGGGTGTGCAGCCACTAAAATCTAAGTTTTCAATTTTTCCAACATTAACTCTTTTAATGAAAAATACAGCATAGCAAAATATTCTGTTTTAAAAAGTATAAATAAAAAGGTCTAACTACAAAAACCAGGGTATTCAGAAATAGAACAGTAAAAATATACAAAGCTGCAAGAAAATCATAATATAACCATAATGTAAATTACATGAAACATGTAACATACGTAGATGTTGCATATCTCTTTTGAGTACCAGTATCCAGATTGTTTTAGTATCCACATTAAAGATCTTACAAGTGGATTCATACATGGGACATGAAAAAAAAAGAGCCCAAAAGTTTTTTCTGAAAATCCTTATGCATAATTCTTGCTCTTTTGTCCTACAATTTTTCTCACAACACTTATCCTCTGAAGGCCAAGGCACCTTTGAGGAAAATTTGTCAAATATACATTAGCAGAGAAGAATTTATACAATCATCTATTTAACTAGCCACAAACACAAATTAGCCTATTGGAATGCAGTATCAATATAAAACATTGCACACCTTGACCCATGTCAGGATTTTTTACCTGTAATATGCACATTTGAGGGAATACCATGAATCAATTCATCAAATTTATGAGAAAAGTCCGATCAACATAGTATTCTATTTTTCCCGCATCTTGCATCTCATAAAATATCTAAAAATCATTCAAGTCATGAGAATATATTTTGGTATCAATTCTGTTTATAGGCATAGGTCTTACTACTTTGAAAGATTGTGGAAATCCATTTCAAGATCACATTTATCTCCACAGCCTTCCTATGAGGCATCTCAGTTTTATATCTATATTTTGTATGTCAAGATTGCCAAAGAATAAGTCTCATGGAAAATTATTAGGGGAGCATGGAACAGATCTCTCCTTTGGAGCCCTGAAAGGCAAGGAGAACTGTTGGGTCATTTGTTTCTTTTTGAGGAGAGACAGTTACAGAGAAAGCCTTGGACAGCTGACTTTAATTCTGGATATCAAGCCGTTATAAAGAGACAAAAGTACAGAATCAGCTAGCTACACTCTATTTAAGCAAGAACAGTAAGACACAATACACCAGAAAAAACCCCCAAAGAGTATGAACTGGCTCCTTAGAAACTTAGGCAAAGTAGTTTTTCAAGAGTTTGGGAATGTGAAATGACCTGCCTTTGCCCTGAGGAGAGGATGGACGGGCAGAGCAAGAGCTGCAACTGCTCTTGTCTTCTCTTTGCAGCCCTGGTAATTACAACACCAGCCAGCTTTCAGGGACTCAGCCCAGGGAATCCTACTGCCTCTGGCAGTTCCATCCTCCCAGCAACCTCAAATAAGCCTGGAACTACCAGAGCATGAAATGAACACAGATACATATTGTTTGTTTGCTCCTAAGCCTGCACACACACAGAGCATACATGTGAAACTGTTCAGCTGAAGGCTGTACCTTTCTGTAACAAGATTTTGCTAAAAAGCATAATTAACTTTTGTTCTCTTTGTATTTTTTCTATGTAATTCAATTAATTTGTTTCTCTCTCCGTATGTTACATGTCTGCAGAATTACTAAATCAAAATTTGTAGCTATGAGTCCAAATCAATAAGGAAATGTGAGTTCTGAAAACGCTGAAAAATTTATTTTACTCCTCTGTTTGCTGGTGGGAAGCAGAAAGGAGGTTTAAAAAAGCAGCTCCAACCAACACCAGCTGAAGTTGTTCTTTACTCTTTTTGCCCAATACCAGCAAATGCTCTGTGAGGTTCTTGCACTCCAAGTTCTCAAAGAGCTTTAGGAATTGATCTGGAACTCCATATCCCTCAACTGTCTTGATAAATAATCTGGTTGTAAATACTTCATATTCAATGAAAACTATCTAGCTTTATTCACACTGCTTAATCAGCTGCCTGAAAGACTGCAAGACCAATCTGCACTGCCATTTTTCTTCTTTCTTTATATTGCCCTTTTTTCCTTACCTAACAAATACTGAGTCCTTCTTTCTCCTCCTATATTAACATTAAAGTGTGCTATTAAGCAGTATTGCTGAACAGACAGAATAGGAATTAATGTGTCCTCTTACACTTGTCTAAAATTTTGCAAAAAGGAACAACTATTGTAAATTTATTTGCCTTAGGAAAAAAAAAAAAAAACACAATCCTTTTTTTAGCCTACATTCAAACTCCTGCTGCAATACTAATAGCACCAAAATTACGATTATATAATTCTTTAAAAATTATTTTACTGCTGGTTATGTTTTCCACAAACTGCATATCTGCAGAGATTTCCTAAAGTTTCAAAAAAAAAGAACAGATGGAGATATTACCAAGCATAATATTGCATTCTTTTAAAATATACAAATAAACTAGCCACAAATTTTAACTAAATTGTTCTTATTAGTTTTCAAGCAAATGGTGATAGAAATCTAAATTATAGTTGAGATATCAAAATTTCATATTTCAGAATGAAATTTAGAGTTTCAATTATTTTGTTCTCTTCAATTTTTAAAACTGAATATTATCTGGCAAGATTAGTATTTGACTAGCATTTACAAACATACAGAATATGTATAAAATTACTGCACTTCCAATGGGCAAGCCCAACATGTGGTTTTGTAGATTATAATAACGTATTTCAAAATACCCCCTTTCCTAGAATGAAAAAATTAAAGCAGAGAACTGAAAATTCAGAAGGGTTACGTAAATTTTGGTTTTTTTCTCTCTAGGATGACAGTGCTGGCAAACACAACTCTTATCTCTATGCAAAATCTATTTTTTATGAAACTAATTTTAAAAATTACAGGATTACCCATAAGGGAAGGTACTTACAGATGCTGTCACTTGAGAAGCACTCTGAAACTCATTAATATCTTCTGTGAGCGTTTCAACCCCAGGTACTTGAGCTGTTCCAAAGAGGTACAAGAGAAATGTAAATCACTCTAATCAAGTAAGTGTTAGTCACTTTGAAAATGTAACGCCTAAAAATTTACTGCTGGGAAGGTAAACGTGGCTATTGCAAATGTACAGTACTTTCAGTTACAGTTCAATGGATTTTATTTTATGTCTGATTTTAATTTACAATCTTAATGCAACATGGAACAGAGTCTCTAAGATGACTAGAGTGATAAGCAAGCTTCCTTCAGTGGCCAAGGTATATTCTAGGTTCTTTATTCACTTTACTCTTTAAACTAAATAGTGTTTACCCTTTACACAAGGGAGTAGTGGATCTCCAGCTTTAATAAAATGGATAAAACTATATTCAATTAATTCAGTTAAAATTCCTGAAGTAAAAGGATTTGGACAATTTAGACAATATTTAAAAGCCTTGAAAGTATAACTTTTGCCCATATTGCCACATTTTAAAATGACAGAATTTTGTGAGGAGTCTAAAATGTCTCTTTGATGCATGTATAATTACTTAAAACAGATTTTATGCAACCCTGTCAGAGAAAGAAATTTCTAAGTAACATTCCATGCAGTTTCACTCTTTGCCTAGCACTCTTCTAAGGCACTTAGATGCTGCATCAGCAGCCTAACAAAAGAAGATGTCCTGATCTTCCCTGTGTTCTGCTGTCATTCTGACACTTAGCAGGGTCCTTATGTTTCCAGAATCCAATTTGCTAAATATCTCAGACTATCCTTACTATGAAAGCACAACTTACTGTGAAGTGTGGCAACTGTGGTTACCAATTCATTGCAAACACAAATTGATGTGGAAGGCAAAGAGGTGATGATAACACAAAGTTATGATCAGGGAATTGTGTGGGAATTGAGAGATGATGCCACACTTTTGCCATTGCCTTATCTAGTTCTCAATCTTAATTCCCACATATTTGCATCCTTAATTTTTTACCCTGGTCATGCAGTTCCACGCAGAACAACACTCTATGTGTTTCATATGTTCATGTTTTCATTGAACATCCCCAATTCCAAACTTTTCCTCTACATCCTCATGTCTCTTGAACTTTCTACTATAATGACACTTAAAAGGGGAAAAAAAAAAAACAAAAACAAACAAAAACAAGCAAACCAACCAGAATACAAACACCACAAAAAAACAGTGACTCCTATTTGATAGGGAATAAACTACTGATGTGAAATTTGCTCTAGCAAAATTTATTTAGCAAACTAAGTATTATATATCACAATATAATCTGTAGAGCTGTAGATGTAACAGCACAATAAAATAGGAAATACCTGCACATTTGGCATAAGTGGCATAAGTACCACAGAGCCTATTATCTTTGGTCCAGTATTATTCCAGGGGGATTCACAAAAGAAACAAGTCTTTGCCCACACCCCAGAAATATGTGGAGCTGCACAATACATGCAAAGAAACTCACATAATAAACAGCTTTTCACAGATATTTGAGGAGTGCCTTAGAAGTCTTATACTTTTCATTTATCCTATATTACGAGATTACTCCCTAATACGTGACTGCATTTTAAACTTACTTCTACAAGGATGCACAGACTGCAAAAGCTGTATTTGCAATAACATCTTTTTTTCCTGCCTTATATCATGGCTTCACTCAAAGGGTAAGGTACATTTCAGCAGAAGAGAATGAAACAAGTAAAACAAGGTTGTATGGTACTTATAGGAAATTGGGAGTAAATGAACAATTATCCCTAAGGGATACTATTTCTACATATCTAAAAGCCCCCCAAAATACTGAAGTGAATTGCTTCTACAATCCCACCAACCTGAAAAACACATTGGGGGCTGTTGCATGTAGATTTTTCTGGATCAATTCTGTTGTAGTGTGTATCTTTTGAAGCCTCAGAAATTCTCCCCATCCACCTCCACAGAACAAGAGCAAGGCTCAGTGGAGAACTGACCAAAGAGACAAACCAGACAAGCTTGGCATCTACAGGGAAAGTTTGCTATGCAGTCATCTATGCTGCTGCTTCTGATCAAAATCAAGAACCTATTAAATTCTTCCCTGAGTTCATTCTTGTGAAGTGGTCTAATGAAAAAGGGAAACATTTTTGAGAGGTATAGTTTAGGACAGTGGAAAGAAACTGCAGCTTTAAGTGTCTTGTGTTTTTCTATCTTGAGACCTGATTCCTACCTCTCATTTTTACTACTTAGATCAAACACAAGCCTGTCCAATTCAGCAGGATTATACTAGAGGGAAATCAGTGTAGTGGTTAAGTAGAACCAGATCCAGATTGTCAGCAGAGTCAATATAGTGTCTGATGCTGCACATGATCTTCTCACATAAGCTCCTGCATTAACTTTAGAAGGTGGAATTGCTTAAAATGAGGCTTATTTATAAGGGCTGTTAGATCAGATGTTCTGCCCAATTACTTCTGAGCTTAGTTCATCTGAAATTCACAGGAGAGATGTTCCAGATCTAACAACAGAAACAGATCATTATCTAAAGAAAGCTACTCTCAACTTTGTTGTGCATCAGCACCTTGCTTGCTTATTCTTGAATGAATGGTTTGCATCAGCACTTCCCATTGCACTTTTCCCTCATTAAGGTCACTGATACTGATAAATAGCAGAACATAAATTCAAATAAACCTGGTAAGTGAAGCTTGCTAGTCACTATTTCATGATGTAATACATCTGTAAGAGGACATAACTAAAAATTCACTGCAATAATGCCTTGGTTACTTAGGGTTTTTTAACAATATCTTTATGGGGTTTTTTTTCAATCATCCTCTCATACATAATAATATTTATTGGAAATAAGTATCAGATGCAAAGAGAGCAAATATTGTGCTGCATTTACAGGGAGGATTGATAGAATGGGCAGTTGCCTGAGTTCTGTGTCTGTTTATAGTCTGTACCTACTTGTGAAATCCAGCTGTGTTTTTTTTTCAAATTGAAGTGTAACACTAGCCAACATTTTAGGAAAAAAAGACTCAACCATATGTTACAAAACACTGAACATTTCTGAGGGCACCTCTTGACAGAAATTTGGCATTACCTAACCATCGACCTCAATCTTTTTGCCCGAGAGCCCTTGTTATTTTCTAGCTACATGACTAACAGGTCCATGTATATTCATAGACAGATAGATGTTTATAACAACATGAATATCAGTGCCCCACCTTCCTATCTAAATTTTACTCCCTGTATCTTATTGAATGTAGTGGTTTTTTAAAGAAAGCATCTTCCATCTTCTCTGTAGCCATATTGACTGCAGAGTATTCAGAAGCACATGAAGTGGCCGAAGGTAGAACAGCTGCAGCACTTTTGTGCTCCACATTCTGTGACCATGAAAGATCCAGCTCCAATATTACACAGCATCCAGTATTTTCTGATAGTTTCACCTTCTTTAATCCTGGTATTGCTGCCACTTAGCAACACTTAACCATTTAATTGAAGCCTGCAATTTTATAACACGACATGGCAAAGTGGGCATACTTTCACTTCAGGAGCAAAGGTACACAGGAAGGAATATGCAAGGATGAGATCTGTTCAAAAATTATTTTGTGAACTGTAGAGCTTTTTCCCACATGTCTGTCTTACCAATCTATTTGCTTTTGCTGCAATAAAACCATGCACGGATATTTCCTTCCCAAGCAAGCCACCACTACCTCCCTTTCTGGGAATCACTGTCACAACAATAGAATTTTGCCTTCCTTTCACAGAGCTTGAATGAAGTCACCAGTCTGAGCATCTCTTGCTGACAATCTCCATGAAGACTGTAAGGACATCGTATTTTGAGATTCTGAGTCCTATTGTCCTTTTACCTTGTTCAATTGTCCTATTACCTTGTTCAATTAGGTGATCAATGGCAGATAAAAGGAAAAGCCAGTGTCTTGACTGCATGAAACCACACATTCTCACAAAATCAGTTTAAAAATTAATCTTTAAAGACATATTAGTTACTAATGATTGGTTTACAAATGAGGCAAGAGAAATGAATGAAAACTCAGGTTGCTGTGATATCTAATAGTACATACAATAGTATTAGATAGCAGACAGAGAGTAGGGTAATTTAAAAAAATACATTCTGGAGGGTTTTTTGTGTTAATTGATCACCATAGCTAACTTGTCCATGGCTGCTGAAGACTACACTGCAAATCAAAACATACCATTTTTGTAGACTCGGCTGGTTCGACAGTAAGGGAATGGACTGAATCTTTGCAGATTCACTGTCAAAACCTGTATTTGTTTCCCTCTGCATTACAGCAGCAGCTAAGATAAAGTTAACCTTCATCAATTTCATCTTTCATAGGAAAGCTGGGCATTCTCTGGAAAGATATCCTTTATGAAGTGCCTTTTTCAACATTTCAGGTGTTACTCAGTTCAAAAATCTGAGAAGAAATTGAAATAAGCCTGAGTGTCCTGACTGCAGATTAACCCAACAGATGAACATGTTAGTATGAGGGGAAAAAGTGTTTTTCAGAGTTATTTTATAAACTCTTTCTTTCTACTGTAAAGCATTTGAATAATCTGGATGCATGTGTAGTAATAAATTAAATATTTCAAAGACCATTCTTTGGCATAAAAGCAGCAATGAACAGCCCATGCCTATGCTATTAAGCTGTTTTAAATGTTAGTGTGCTAACATAAAATCTGTCTAATAAGAACAAATTCTGGCCCAGTGAACCTCTCAAAATAAGCCTAGGAATTATTCTGGAGTGTTAATTGGCCATGACAAAAAATATATTAGTGGCTCTTTGAACAGATTTGAAGTGTAAATGATTGAGTTCAAATGCCCAGGAACACTCTCTTGGAAGTGTTTCATCTTTTACAGACATAACCCCTACTCTCAAATTCAAGATGTTGATGTTTGGGGTTTTTTTATGAGCAGCAAATATTTATATAACTTACCATCAGAGTCTGACACTGCTGGCTCAGATGTCTGAGATACCATGGAGACATCTTCTGGCCTCTCTGCCAAATTATCCCCTTGCAATCTAAATTGTGGAAAAATGCAATGAAAACATTTGCAATCATATTCAATGGATAAGACACAGAAGAAGATTATCCTTGGCTACATGTCCTGCTCACAACATTGCCCTAATTAAAAGAGCAGCTTTGCTGAATAGCCCACACTCAGGGTTCAGTCATAACCTGGACTGTCTAGTAACCAGTCTCCAAGGAACAGCCAGCTGAATCCTAGCTTACACATTTTTCTAAGTCTTATTTTACAAAAGTGGGGGTTTGGTGTGCATGTGAGACAGCAAGCTTCCTTCCCTACTTCCAAAAATATTTTAATTGAATAGGACTGTAGTGAATGTCCATGCCAATGTGTTGGCAGGGAGGTGGCCTTGGTGAGAAGAGGCTGGGGCTGCCCTGAGTCCGTCACAGGTGGTTCCATCTGGCTCCAAAAGGAACCACAAGGAACCACGGCAGGGCAGAGCTGAGCTCTTCAGCCAAAATGGTGGCATCTTGCAGGAAACATAGTTAAGGAAGAGCCAGTCACAATGCCACACAGGCAGACGAGCAGGGAACAGGACGACTGGGAAACTGCAGAGGACACACCAAGGTCAAAGGAGATGGTGCCCCATCCTCTGAGCAGACACTCCCTGACAGCCCATGGTGAAATGCCAGAGGCAATATCCCATGCAGCCCCTGGAGAACCAGGGCAGGTAACTATGTCTGGGAGATGGACAGTAGCCAATGGAAATCCCACACTGGAGCAGGTGAAAAGTGGGGTGAGGAAGGAAGGGCAGAGAGGACCTCTAATGGACTGACCACAAAACTCCATTCTCTGTCTCCCCTGCACTGTTCAGGGGGTGGGGAGAGGAGTCAGAAGTGACAGAATGAACTTGGGCCAGGAAAGGGAGGAGGAAAAGTGTGGTTTTAATGTCTATCTTTTAGTTTCTCATCACCTAAACCTACCTTAATTGGCAATAAATTAAACTAATTTTCCCCAAGTCAAGTCTGCTTTGCCCATTACAGTAACTGATAAACAATCTCCATCTTCATCTTAACCCACAAGCTTTTACTTCCTATTTTCTCCTGTCATCCTACTGGCTGGGTAGGAAACTGGCCCTTAGCCAAAGTTAACCCATCGCAGGGGTTATGTATGCAAGAATATTTCCTCCTCCTTTGTTACTTGTTAAAAGGAAAATACAGTAATTACGGCAGACTTTGTCTTCAGGCTTTCCTGCTGCACCAGCTGACTGCAATGCCTTGACAGCAATTTATACAAATAATGCTTGTATCTGTTTGCTCAAATGAGCATCCCAGGAGTCCCACCATCCTTCTCCAGGCTCTTATGAATCCTGAGTACAAATTCTGCTCTGAGAAGTGCTTTGTAGCTCTAAATGCAATATAACTGCCATTTACATAAAGGTTATCTTACCTTGGGTTTATTCAGACATGAAAAGAATAAGAAAAATGCAATTCAATTTTGCAAAGCCCAGGAATCATAAAAATGCATTGAAGTAAAACCTTGGGGAAAGAAATAACTTATCTCTTGGAAGAAGAAAAAGTTCTTTTCACTCTGTATTCTTACCCTCTGCAGCTGTTTTATACTAAGCTTGAAATTAACCTTTGAAACCAAGTAGAATCCCCTTATCTGCCCTATCTAAATTTCACATTTTATTATTCTCACAGTTATCTAATATAGACAGATCTTAAAGTCATCTATTTGTTTGTACTCCTCAAAACCATTTCCCCAATAACCCCATCCCCAATTACTTTTATCTCCTTTTATTGCCCCTAGAATCATTTATTTATGATGGAAGGTGTAAATTCATAATATTTCTTATCAAAGGTGGTAGATCCATAGAACATGAAACTCAAGACAACAAAATGTAAAAGTTAGAAGCTGTAAACCTAATTTTGAAAATTACTTCTATTAATCTTTTATAGCTCTGTATCTGGCTTCTAATGCTCTAGTTACCAATTCTTTAAAGCCTAGCTTGCCAAACAGAAGCAAATTACTTTGTATCCTTAAGATATTCAAATAGGGAGAAAATAAATTGCAAATGAAATAACTATGCAAAAAAAAGGAAGCGATCAAAAATTCACATAATTTTCCACTGCAGTACAATTCACCCATCCTCCTTCATTACATACATATGCACATTCACCGCAAGCACATATTCAGTCTTAGAAAGACATGCATGAAATTGCAAGAACCAGAAGTGAGATACCCATCTCTCCAGCCATGTTGGTAGTTCATTTATATTTAATTAAAAGGATAATTACTCCAACCTTTTCTGCTTACATTACAGTCATATAAAAACTATCTCTAGAAGTGGAGCTGCTTCTGTTGTCCCATCAGATTTTTCAAGATTTTATTATGTTCCCATTCAGAGCTTCGATAAATCCAAACCAGACATGAATAACTGGAATTATGCTCATCTTTTTCTAGATTTTAGATATATTTCAGTGGTCCATTGCTTCATGAAGAACACATACACACAAAAAATCTTTTCAATGTAAAAATATTTTCTTTTTCTTTCTTTTCTTTTTCTAATCAGAAAAACAATTTCATAGAATTTTACTTTGTAGGAAGAAATATACTGGGTGGATGGGTGAATAGGATGTTTGACATGTCCATACCTTATTTTAACATCAAATTTTCAATTTATTTATGTATTTCTTAAAAATAGATTCATATCAGAATAGATCCTCATGAATCTCAAGCAACAAAAAAGTCACAAACATACACAAAAGAACTCTGGTACTTGGACTATTACAATTTCTTCTTCAAAAGTAGTATTATTCATAAGACATCTCCACAGTAAAATGAAAACACTTAAAAACTCTTAAGCAGAAAGAAGCATTCATTAGAAAGACACATAGGCTTAGAAGTTACCTAAAAATTACTATCTTACTAATGCTTGATGGACTACTTCAGCTTTTAACCAAAGCATTCTTTCAGCTATTAATTATTTTAATGTGAGTCTAAATTTGATACCTGATAGCCAACATTTTTTCCCATATCTGTTTCTAGTGGGATTTTTTAGCTTAGAGGACATTGTTTCAGTTATAGTAACTAGCCGCATGTTGGAGCTTCAAGAGCTACAAAGCAAACAGCCTACAGGTAAATATTTCAATTTTCTTTAACCCCAAAATGCATTCCAAGAAAACTGTTAAGGACTTCAGGACCAAGGATATTCTGAATAAATTCTATAGATTTAGTGCAGAAGCATTACACAGGGTCTATCACTACAAGCAAGCTTGTGGATGTGTGAATCACAGTTCTCCTGCTGGTATGATCTTAAAAATATGATTCACAGAATGGGTCAGACTGGAAGAGACCACAGTAGGCCATCTGGTCCAACCTCCCTGCTTGACCAGGGTCATCCTAGAGCACATGGCACAGGGTTGTGTACAGATGGTTCTTGAGTATTTCCAGTGAGGGAGACTCCACCTCTCTGGGCAACGCATTCCAGTGCATGGTCACCTGCACAGGAAAGAAGTTCTTCCTCATGTCCAGGTGGAACTTCCTGTGCATCAGTTTTTGCATATTGCCCCTTACTCTATTTCTTGGCATCACCAAGAAGAGCCTGGATCCAGCCTCTTGAAACCCTCCCTTCAGACACTTGTAAACATTGATAAGGCCCCCTCTCAGTCATCTTGTGGCTGACAGGCCGAGCTTACTCAGCCATTCCTCTCAGGAGAGATGTTCCAGTCCCTGCATCACCTTTGTAGCTCTTCACTGGACCTGCTCCATGATCTCCATGTCTCTCTTGTCCTGAGGAGGCCAGAACTGGACACAGCACTCCAGATGTGGCTTCACCAGGGCTGAGTAGGGTTAGAGTCACCTCCCTCAACCCACTGGCAATGCTCTTCCTAACGCGCCCGCAGGAGACCATTGGCCTTCCTGGCCACAGGGACACACTGCTGGCTCATGGGCAGATGTTGTCCACCAGGAGCCTGGTCCTTCTCTGCAGAGCTGCTTTCCAGCAGGTCAGCCCCCAGCCTGTGCTGGTGCAGATGATTATTCTTCCCCAGGTACAGGACCCTGAATTTGCCTTTGTTGAATTTCAGATGGCTCCTCTCTACCCATCTCTCCAGCCTCTCAAGGTTGGATGCAGGACAAATTCCTACCTGAGAACTCCTCCAGTGCACTAAATGTAGACATACATGATGATTCTCCTCTATGTCAACACTGCTGTTCCATGACATTCTTAAAATAAATAGTTAGAGAAACTAATGTAAATTTGATGTTACAGCAGAATACTAGAATTAAAAAATACCAACATAGTTCACATAATACTTCTTAGGATTACATGGGATTAATAAAAATAATTACAAACATAGGTACTTTCTATTATCAGGGCTTAAGGAGAAGGCATAATGTATTCTGAAAATGAAGAAATGGAAATGCTTTGGATACCTCATAATGAGATATATGCCCTCTAGTATTGGTTCTTTGCATAGACTACTGATTCAAAGTATGTGTATTAATAATTGTCTTGCACTAGTTTATAACAGAGGCTGTACTTTAGGAAATTTCTGTGCCAAATAAAATTCAGAGAGTAATTGTCACTTACAGATAGAAATTTAGATTATATTTAGGTTAATGCTCTTTTCACCTACTCTTCCAGAAATATGTCACTTAAATAACCAAAATCCCATTCTATTCCTTCCTAAAATGAACCAGCAGAAGGGTTATCATTTTTAGACAAAATCTCCTTTAATCCCAAATAAACAACTACAGGCAAGAGTTATATAATTAATGCACATGTGGCTGGCCTTCAAATTCTGGTACATAGCTAAGGACTTCTTTTTATTTTTAAATATAGCAAACTAGAGCTGGATAACTGTGTTCAAATTCTGATGTTCCCTAGAGGTGAACAAGAACAGAAACTGAAACTCCACTTGAGAAGAAATCCTGAGAACCTGCTATTTCAAGAAAATACAAATGCTTCTGCTGACATTTTAGTAGTGAAGAAAAATTCCTTCAGGGGCTCCAGGACAGTAAAGGGCACTCTCCAAGGAGGAGGGGGGA